TGGATGGATGGATGGATGGATGGATGGATGGATGGATGGATGGATGGATGGATGGATGGATGGATGGAAACACATCTCCAAAACAACAGTCACTGTTCAAATTGCTCAGTGACGGGGGACCACTTGTCCAAGCAGAGAAGCAACGATCAAAGTGTGTTTATGTAAAAGTGTGTGTGTGTATTTGTTTTTAATCTTTTCCCCAACTTTTTTAATTTTCTCACCTAATGCCTATAGAATTTAATTTAAATTTTCTATTTTAATTTGAGTTTTCCATGGTTTACCTACAAAGCAATGGTAAACTAACATAAACCTACTTGATGTGTATATGTCGTTCAGTACATGTGCAAAAATGTTTTTTATGCATTTTCATTTAACAAATTACATATAAGTATACAGTATGCATTATTTCTAAGTGCTGTGACATTTCTGAAAGTACAGATGTAGTGTGTTTTAATAATATTCATGTACAGAGTGTAAAAAATTATGTATTTTTTATTTTATTTTGAATCAACAGAGCCTTAATTGTAAGAGTAGAGAGTTTATTTTTGGATCTGCCTGGTTGTAATCATTACAAGAGTATTGTGTGGTTGTAAAGCAAATGTTCCACTCCAAAATGAAACACTACCAATTCAAAAAACTTCATAACCCAAACATTTTTATTCATTTCGAGCTCATAATGAGGTCATGCATAATTATTTTTAAAATGATGCAGTTATTGTTGTTTTGATCCAAACTTGATGCTAATCAGAACTTGAAGCAATGGGTGATGATGACTCGCAGCTAATACTGCACCAATATGTAGTTCAGCATCTGCAAAGCTGGCTGAGTCATGCTCCAATTTCTGTTGGCTAAGGTTGATAAGTTGTAGCAGTCATAATCATTTGGATTGCCAGTTGTAGATTACTTTCTGATGGTTTCACTTCAAACTGTCCAGGATGTACTGGTGTATTGTTGCTAACTCACACAAAGATGACAAATGTTATTACCAAAGTTTAACAGAAACATTTCATGTAGCAATCAGAATATATCTAGGAAGTGACTGAGCATCAACCGCAGCAGAGCTGAGCTCAGTGGATGACCCTCAACTACTATTACACCAAACTTCAGGTAAATACGTGTACGAGTTATAGACATTTAATTTTTTCTCACGTCATTCAGTTGAGATGTCCTCCTCGAAATAGATTTACTTCTGTACATCCACTGAATACTTTCCAAGTTTCATAAAATACACCTACTGGTTCATAGAATATTTTGCTAACAGACAAGCAAATTCACACACAGGCACAGGCAAAACTGTTATCACCTGCCACCAAAGATGAAAGAGTGATAATTCATTATTCATTTTCAGAACAACTTTTTAACATTGTGCTTTTGGAATGAAACAGTTGCTTCAGTGGTTGTGATTAAAATGCTTTGACATGCATTGCATGGTGAAACGTGTCTCTGAGTGCCTTTCTCCTGCTGTCTGGATATTTTTTATGTGAATTGCAGTTGCTGTAAGCTGTGAAGACTTTTTGATGTCAGTACAGAGTAGCCCCCAAAAGAGGCACAAACCCCAGCAGTTTCTGTATGTCAGGTTCAGTCTGTGCAGGCACTGGTGTGTATGAAGTGATTTTACTTCACAGTCAAACATGGTTTATTTCTTTGAGTTGCCAGAAAATATTTGTGAAAAAGTCCTTTTTTTTTCTTGCCTCTAAAACATCTGTAAATTTTGTATGTTTTGTTGGCTGTTCTTAAAACACTGAATTAAAGCAAAGGCCAGCTCTATGGTTATTTCTTATTTTCCACCGTTCTATAAGAATGCAGAAGACTGTGACGATAAATTAGTCTCAAAAGTAGTCACACAAGCGTGCACGATTTGTAAGTGCACACTAAGATCCACTTTTGTATAAATAAAAGTGATTTTCCTGACTATCATTTTGGATGAGCAAGACTGAGGGTCGGATACTCAGACTTTGTTTGGCTTTAATTAATTATTCTGACTATAGCAGCTCCTCCTCCTTGGCCACTTGTTTTAGACATATGATGACTTAAATATTTAGCAGGAAGGGATTCATTAATACTAAGAAAATCCTTCTGTTGTTGCCAGATTTCATAGAGACACAAGTCAATATGATGAACAGTTACAGTGTCTTGCGAAAGTATTCGCCCCCCCCCTTTCAGGCTTCAAACATAAAGAAATAAAATTTTACTTTTTTGTGAAGAATCAACAAAAAGTGGGACACAATCGTGAAGTGGAATGAAATTTATTGGATGTGTCAAACTTTTTTAACAAATAAAAAACTGAAAATGATGAGGAAAAAGAAATGGACTTGATGTTCCCTTGCCCGGACGTGGGTCACCGGGGCCCCACTCTGGAGACAAGCCTGGAGGTGGGGCACGCAGGTGAGCGCCTGGTGGCCGGGCTTTTACCCATGGAGCCCGGCCGGGCACAGCCCAAAGAGGAGACGTGGGTTCCCATGGGCTCACCACCTGTGGGAGGGGCCAAAGGGATCGGGTGCAATGTGAGATGGGTGGTGGCCGAGGGCGGGGACCCTGGCGGCCTGATCCTCGGCTACAGAAGCTGGCTATTGGGACGTGGAATGTCACCTCACTGGTGGGGAAGGAGCCTGAGCTGGTGTGTGAGGCTGAGAGGTTCTGGTTTGAAATAGTCGGACTCACCTCTACGCATGGCTCGGGCTCTGGAACCAGTTTCCTTGAGAGGGGCTGGACACTCTTCCACTCTGGAGTTGCCCCTGGTGAGAGGCGCCGAGCAGGAGTGGGCATACTTATTGCCCCCCAACTTGGTGCCTGTGTGTTGGGGTTCACAATAGGAGGCCACCCTCTCATTCACCGGGGTGAATGAGAGGGTGGCCTCCCTCTGCCTACGTGTTGGGAGACGGGTTCTGACTGTCGTTTGTGCTTATGCACCAAATGGCAGTTCAGATTATCCACCCTTTTTGGAGTCCTTGGAGGGGGTACTGGAAAGTCCACCTCCTTAGGACTCCCTTGTTCTGCTGGGGACTTCAATGCTCAAGTGGGCAATGACAGTGAGACCTGGAGAGGTGTGGTTGGGAAGAACGGCCACATTGATCTGAACCCGAGTGGTGTTCTGTTGTTGGACTTCTGTGCTCCTCATGGATTGTCAATAACGAACACCTTGTTCAAGCATAAGGGTGTCCATATGTTCTCTTGGCACTAGGACACCCTAGGCCGCAGTTCGATGATCAACTTTGTCATCGTCTCATCTGATCTGCGGCCACATGTATTGGACACTCAGGTGAAGAGAGGGGCGGATCTGTCCACTGATTACTACCTGGTGGTGAGTTGGCTCCGATGGTGGGGGAGGATGCCAGTCAGACCTGGCAGACCCGAACGTATTGTGAGGGATTGTTGAGAAAGTCTGGCAGAGTCTCCTGTGAGACAGAGCTTTAACTCCCACCTCCAGGAGAACTTCGAACATGTTCCGAGGGAGGTGGGGGACAATGAGTCCGAGTTGGCCATGTTCCGTGCCTCTATTGTCGAGGCGGCTTACCAGAGCTGCGGCCGCAAGGTTGTCTGTGCCTGTCACGGCGGCAACCCTCGAACCCAGTGGTGGACACCGTCAATGAAGGATGCTGTCAGGCTGAAGAAGGAGTCTCATTGGGCCTTTTTGGCCTGTGGGACCAAGGAAGCAACTGATGGGTACCAGCAGTCCAAGCAACATGCGGCTCGGGTGGTCGTTGAGGCAAAAACTCGGACATGGGAGGAGTTCAGAGAGGCCGTGGAGAATGACTTCCGCACGGCTTCAAGGCGATTTTGGTCCACAATCCGGTGTCTCAGGGGGTAAAGTGGTACACCACCAACACTGTTTATAGTTGGGGTGGTGTGCTGCTAACCTCAACTCAGGATGTCGTGGGTCGGTGGGCAGAGTACTTTGAAGACTTCCTCAATCCCACCGGCACGTCTTCCACTGAGGAAGTGGAGCTTGGGGACTCTGGGTCGGGCCCTCCAATCTCTTGTGCTGAGGTCATCGAGGTGGTTAAAAAGCTCCTCGGTGGCAGGGCCCCAGGGTTGGATGAGATTCGCCCGGAGTTCCTTAAGGCTCTGGATGTTGTAGGGTTGTGTTGGCTTATGCGACTCTGCAATATTGCGTGGACATCGGTGGAAGTTCCCCTGGATTGGCAGGGGTTTCGACATACACACATACATACATACATATATATATAT